AAAGCAAAATAAATTTTGCAGTTGTATTTGATAATTAATAATAAATGCTAGTAATAATTTGTCAATTGGATGTTTAGCTACATATTTTATATCATGATCGTGAGAATTTTGTTATTATGCATATCGAATGTTTTCTCTGTAATTTCATGTTAAAAAGAAATTTTGCGCGTATATTATATATTATATAATATTTTCAGTTTTATAATGTAATTTTTTTGTAATATATTACGTATAATATAAAATAAACTATAAAAAATGTAAGTAATAAAAATGTAAAGAAATATATCACAAAATAGGGTAACTTTAGCCCCTATTTTGTAATTCTTAATTAAGAACAGTAACTATAGATATCGTTATATATTGAGATTTTATACATGACAAAACTACGCAACGACAATATAACAACATCGACATTATCATTAAAAGTTACAGAATAAAAGCCTTCGTCTCAGAAACTTTGACACAAATTATAAAAATACATATGCAATACATATGTATTTCCAAAATCATAACATAAGACTCTTAAAACTTTTTTAAGACAATAGTTCGATTAATTCTTTATAAGATTATGTATTTAAGATTTTGTGTGCTGTATTGTCGAAATTTGGGCTAAATTTATCCTGATTTTGTATTTGGGAAAATTTATCCCATTTTATGATATTGTAAAGGAAAGAGGACGATTGAATGGCAGGGGATGTGATGGAGGATCTCTACAAGTTAAATTGTATTTGCCATAATCTGAAAAATGTATAGAAGTAATTTGAACGTTATAACGTACTTTATGATTTTTTTTGCATAATAAATAAATTTTGCATGTATTAAAAGTAAAAAAAAAAGAAAGAATTCTTAATAACAAGCTGATGTTATTTGTTCTCATTTGATCAATATAACGACAAATTAAAATAATGTTAATTTTAAAGTAAAAAAGAGGACCATAATAGCTACATTCAGCAGAAAAAATAGCTTTGCAATTGCTGTAAAATTCTTGTAAGATTTCTCAATATAATTTATTTATATATTTAGCTCCATAAAAAGACAATGGCAAGAATCATCTTGAAGAATTTTACAACAGTTGCAAAGCTTTTTTTCTTCTAAACAGTTAATGTCTATATTTACTGGAAGTTAATATAGTTCATTAATAAATTTATTGCATATGTGCAAAAACCGCACCTATATCCGAGTACACTTATCAGTATATCGTACGTCAGTATATATATATAGTTCCGTAGTTCTCAATTGTAATTATTCATAAGAAGACAAATATGTAACATTGCATGTATTTTAATAACTTTCCAAATTAATTATTTCAGTAAATATATAATTTTATATAATCGTATATAAATAGATGCAATTGTATATAATTATATATAAAATTATATAGAAAAATTATATA